TTCCCCATATATTTTCTCATTCCAGTTTATATCCCCCTCTTTCTTAATATCTTCCTTTCCCCTTTTCTGCTGGGTCTTTCTGCCTTTCCTGGCTTCACAGGTATTCCCCCTTTTGATTGCCTTCTTAAATTTCAACTTTTTAACCTTCCTTCTTTCCCCACTTCTTTGTAGTGTTCTTTGTGTTAATTGTCTGTTTAAAATGACTTCTTGAATCGACTCCTCCTCCTCTGAAGCTCTTTCTTCTTGTTCTTCAATCTCCATTTCCATTTTTTCTAACACAGAGCAAAGTGATTCGCCTCTTTCTTGTAGTAATTCTCTCATATTTTTAAGTTCCATTTTTAATTCCCAAAGAGATATCATCATTACATACTCTTATATTTTATGATCGTTAAAGTCCACAAAAAAACAACAACACTTTTACTTTCCTTCTTTCTTCTTTCAATTTTTTAAAGTTCTCAGTTATTCCAGCCGAGGGTCTATACCAAAAACATCAATCAATCCCACAGTCAGTCTTTCCTTGCTTTTTCTTTATTCTGGTTCTGCTTTCACTTTCTTATTTTGTTTCAATATTTCTTTAATGTTATATCCACACAGATTCATTCAGAAACAGGATGCTTTCCCTTTTGTTTGAACTCAAGTTTTTGTCAAAAGGTGGCACTCTCCATTATACAAAGTCTTCACCTTTTCCCCCTATTTTTTTATTTAGGGTTTTTCAAACCTCAATATTCCAACACAGTCCAGTCTCCAATTTGTAAACCTTATTATTATTATTTTTTGACAATCTTAAGTCCAGCTTTATTTTATGCCTGTTTATTCCCAAAATATTTTAGTCCAATTTAGTTAAACCTTTAGTTCTAGCTTCTTCCTTTCACGGTTCGAAGCTCCGCTTAGCTCTCAAAAATATTTTCTTTTTTTTCCCCTGTCCCTTTGTAATTTTGTCGCTCACTTTTCTTAAAAATTCCATGTTACCTTAATCCCGGGGTACTTTTGTTTAGTTGTATTGCCCAGTTGTCCCAGTTCAGATGTTATCCACCTCTTTCTTCCCTCCTGCACAAATCCTAATCCAGCTGAGTCCTCCTCTTCGGGGTGGCCATTTTAAACCACCGCTGCAGTCGTCTTCGGGGAGAAAAAGACCAAGCCCGGGGGGAAGATGCGGCTCCCTTCAACCTGGCTTGCGGCTTCCCCTTACTCCACCGCCCCTCCAAGGCAGCTTCAGCCCCTAATCATAATGATCGGGGCTCTCCAACGAAAGAGCACTGATCATAGCCACAGAGAGTCGCGATCTACAGTCCGTCAGCGAGGAGGCTCTGCCTTCTAAAAAAAAAAAAGATTGAAGATAACAGAATAATAGAGTTGGAAGGGACCTGTTATTCTATTATGTTTAATCTTTTTTTTTAAAGATCCAGGTGGGAGCCCAAGTTGGCTGCTACTCCTGCCTTGACTATATTTATGCCGCTGAACTCTAAGGTTGCAGCCAACATTTTGAAAGCCATGTCTCTCTTGAGACTTAATTTATCCATTTCTAGTAGAATGTATCCCAACCATCCATGGATTGTAGCTACTAATGTATTGGTTCACAAATCTCAGAACAAGTCAGGTGCTCCCAATGCATTAGGACAGTGCTAAATTGGAAGAAAGTGCTGTTGATTGCCTGCTGCATTAAAAATTATTGCTGCACCTACAATTCCAAGAATGGAAAAGGGGAGCCATCTGTCTCATGTAGTCACTATTTTTAAACAGTTTTAAAAATAATACGAGGTTCAGACATATTCCTTGTTGGAAAAGTAACATATGGGCAAGCTTTCTAAGGGCCAGCTCATGCAACACATTTTAAAGGCATTGGTTTCACAAGTTCATCCTATGATTGAAGTTCCATGGAGCTCAGCAACTCGAGTGTAATTCACAAGTCAGTTGCCACATGTGGAGACTCCAGAATATATGTATGTGTGCACACATGCTTCTATTTTGGAGCTTCATATCTACAAGTCTCAAAAATAGAACATGAACATTATCATTTCGATTTTTAACTTCAGCAGTTAGAACAAAGCTAGCTTGTCAGTATTTAGTTGCCAATACTTCGCTTGGCACATGCATCAATTTCCTGAAGTTTACATGTGGAGTTTCTGCTCCATTCACATTTATTTTCCCCAAAGTAAATATTATTCCACATGTTGGGTAAAGAATGGAAAGAAAACCCTAGCAAAATAACTCTTTGTGTCTTTTGGCACCATTATAAGAAGTTCTTATTTAAGCAAACACTTGACTGAGGATGAACAGAGAGTTAGTCATTTATTGCAGTATATTAAATTTTGTTACCTGCCCACATCCCATCATTGGCTGCTGAGAATAGATAAGGTGGAGCAGCACCTCTGCTATTGGAGCTCATTCGTTCCAGTAAGAGGGATAACAAACTAAAGCAAACGTGAAGGAAATCCATAGTCCTTCTCCATACTCCACTCTTATCAGCTTTACTTACAATCTGCAACACCCAAGGAATCAAAGCCACTCACAAATTATATTCTCAGCCCTGTTAGCACAATAGGAAATCAACCCAATGCATAGAAAAGGAGGGGATAGACTGTTCTTTTTTTTCCCCCAGTAAAAATGCAGCCAGTATTTGACTAGGAACATTGCTGCACCTTTTCTGTCAATCTTTAGATGTTAGGCAGGGATCCTTAACCAAAATCTTCAGAAATTTGTGGCCAGAGATCATGATGGCTGGGAACTGATGAGAATTACAGTCCATGACATTTGACATGATCTATGCGGTAGAAGATTGCTTCAGGGAAAGGCATGTATTTATTACTTTTTGAGATAGCCAGCTCCAATTTGTGTTGAAATGCAAAATGTAAGAGTGGCAATAACAATACAGTGTTACAGATGCAATATTTTTCTTGTAAATCGATTATGTGTTATAAAATTGTTTTTGAATCCTAGCAGCCATATAGATAATTCACCATTATAATCTGTCCCTAACTTGATCTATCAAGTCTCTCAATATGGACTCACTTCTATTTAAGATACTATTTTGTGATTTGTAAAAAGACATAGAATACCGTACTCTTTTTTTTTACACATTCATTTTTATACACATTCATTTTATACACCACTTGCTGAAAAGTGGTGTTTCCACAAACTTAGGGCACCTTAATCAGTTAAATATTATTTTATTTTAATTTATTCCATATTATTAATTAGTACAGTAATTGCTGCAAAATCCCAACCAAATTTTCTTTTTGGAGTTTAAAAAATAAGTTTTTACTGTGATTGAGATAACTTATATCTCAATAAATAAATCAGTAAGTAGACTAGGCCTTTTTAATCATCACATTACTACCTGAAATTTACTCATGTTCACAAAGATACTGAAGAAGTAGAGAAATAACTAATGTTTTTTCCTAAAACGCTAGAAATTTAAATTTTTTAAAAAAAGTTTAGAAGAATAGCAAATGTTCTATCTGATTACTGAATTAGTGGTCCCAAACCTTTCTGGCTTGGTAGCCTGGTTTTGAGGGGGAAAACCAGACTGTATGAGCAGTGGACTGGCACGCACACGCGCACAGCTCCTCATGCAAAAGAGAAGAGAGTGTCAAAAGCTTTTGCAAAGGGATGGAAGGCCTGAAGCAGCACAAGATCACTCCCCCGAAGCCTTTTGTCCATTTGCAAAAGCTTTTGGCGTGAAGAAGAGAAGCTTTGAGGGTGGGTCTCATCATGCTCCTTCAGACTCACCGAGGCTACCCGATTGTTCTGACCCAGACTTCACACAAACTTGTTTTAAAAGCAAAACCTATTTTAATGCAGCGCTGGGAATTACTTTCATTCTCAGCCAGAACTAATCTTAAACAGTTCCCCAAGATAAGCACACGCCTGTCAGTGTTGTGGAATGCTGCCAAAATCAGAAGTATCCAACTTAAATTATAACAGAAAACAATCAAAGTACCAGAAAAAAAACTGACCAGAATACACAGAGCTTCAAGGAGGACTCGGAATCTATTGAACTCCTTGGCTTCCTGCAAAGAGTTTGTCATTGAGGTCTGACTTTTATCCCTTATGGGAGGGGCAATCACCTCCCAGCCTTACACCTGAGTCGCCCTGCTGCTTCAGCTGCTCTCGCCTTCTAGCAGACGCGCTCTGGGAACAGGCTCCCCTGGGTCCTCTGCTTTACTGCTGCCAGACTCCGAAGGCAGCACACCACTCCCAGATGGTCCTGGCCCCATCCCTCCATTGGATGCAGGACCCTCGTCCAAGTCTTCTCCAGACTCCTTGATGGTCCCCTTTCTTTCTCACGGTCCGACTCCGCTGCCGTCCACACTGGCTGCCGGCGAACCACAACACCAATGCTCCAAATGCAGATTTGATTTGACATAGGCAAAATAATTATGAACCAGTTGTCAACTGTCTGAATTTTGATCATGGGAATGCTGCAATGATTTTGTGAAAAATTCACATAAGTCACTTTTTTCAATGCCGTTGTAGCTTCAAACAGTCACTAAGTGAACTGTAGTAAGTTGAGGACTACCTGTATTCTCTAGGGTCTTTTCTATACAGCCTAAGAACAATCCTGAAATATTTTCCATGGAAAATTATTGGAATGGACCTATAGATACTGCATGCAAAGCATTCTAGATCTAGTCTATATTGGAACTATAAGTCGAGGCCACATAGGCTGCCCTTACCTAGACAAATGGTTTTTTTCTTTTTAACTGTGAAAAAAGAATCTTTTATATGCTAATTGCTGCATGTGCCTTTTTAAAAGTTTGATTTTGTTGCTATTGTTACACACCTCACACACCTCAAAGAGCGGGTCTTAACGATTTATAGCACGTGAGGAAAAGACCATTTAAGAAAGAGGGAACAAGCTTCTGACAGAGGGGAAAAGGTTAAGAGTGTCAGCAATTTTGGGGTTTGATGTAAATAACAAGGAGTTTTGGGAGTGAGACCTGGATGTGGGACTATTCTGTTAAAAGTAAGTTTCTCCTTTCCCTCTGCTGATTTTTCAGAAAGCACTCCAAAGACCTCTGCCAGTTGCAGTCCCGCTCCTGATTCCCCAATGAGTTCCAGCGACTCTGTGAAAAGCTTGACGGAACTGGTCCAGCAGCCCTGCCCGGCCATTGAAACCAGTAAGGAAGGCAAGCTGCAGGAGTCGAGTGAGGCCTCGACTTCGGATTCCCACTGCACAACCCCATTGCCTCTCTCCGGCCATTCATCACTCAGCATTCAGGAACTGGTCGCCATGTCACCGGAACTCGATACCTATGGCATCACCAAGCGGGTTAAAGAGGTGCTCACAGACAACAACCTTGGTAAAAAAAAAAAAACCACATTTGCGTATATGTGTGTGTGTGTATTTCTGATTGCTGTTACAGTAAAGGGTTTTAAAATGTTCATTTTTCCTCTTGCGTTGCTAATAGGAACACGTTTAAAGCCAGGTCGGATATCTAATTATAAACAACTCAACAATCATAATTATTTGGTGAATCAGAGAAAGCTTTGCACATGGATAATTAATAAGGCTTGGGCAAAATTTGTTCAGGGACCCAGCTCTTTATACAATGCACCATATGGTAGCATTCCACGTATGATGATTGCCTTTCTTGCAGTAGATACTACCATAATTCCAAGTATTCACCATTTCAGGAACTTTATTGCAGCTGCTTTTTCAAGGAATCGTGTGACTTGACTAAAGATTAAGTTTACTGCAAGTTTATTTAGTGCTCAGGTAAAAAAAAAATGGATGGAAAGAGAGAGCTTTGGGGCACAGCAAACTTCCAGAGGTGCTTATTTTTTTAATTTGTTTTGCATGTTCATCAGTTTTTGGCTCCTGGCAACTGCCTAAACTAGTCCCTGCAGTTTTTTTGGTAAGGTTTTTGAGAAATTGGTTAGCCTTTGCCTCTTTTTAAGAGCTGATAGGGTAGGTTACCCAGCTGATAGTAGCCCAGGTTACCCAGCTAGCTTTGTGCCTAGGGCAAGACTAGGACACACGGTGACTTAACCACTTTAGCAAACTGGCTCGGGAGACAGACAAACAGATAGACAGACAGACAATCAAAAGATTGAAGCCCATCTATCATTTTTATCACATTTCCCTCTAGCCAATCTTTCACTAATTTGTTTTTTCTCATTCCCCACCCATTAACCTCTTCATGAATGGTCTGTGGAGATTCTCAGTCTTCCAAGTCATGATTGGGCCCAAAGGTGGTTTTTCAAAAAGAAACTAGACTTTCTTAGTTTTTTCTTGAGGATATTTCATTTCTCATCCAAGAAGCTTCTTCAGAACTGGAAGAAGCAAAACATTTTTAAGGAAAAGTAAAGTCCAGTTGCCTTTTGAAAAAGCATCTTTGGATTCTTCATACATTGTTGAACCACTCTGCATTTTCTGCATTCCCCCCCCAAAAGAAGATGCCATTGGCATAAACCTGAGAGAACCACCCTCTCAAAGCCCAAATTACACCAAAGCAATTTTTTAAACAAAAGAATAATTATTCAGGATCACACACTCTCTCTTTTCTCTCTCTTAATTGTGATGGATTGGAAACGTCAAAAATTAGACAATCAGTCAGGCTTCTGTAGATTGTACCTGCATTACTATCACCTGCTTTGGGGTTTTGTTTTTTAAAAAGACAGAAAAATAAATGCAACATTTAGCTACTGAGCTCAAGTTTTAGTTGATTTAATAAGTTTATTAAATAAAACAAGTTGTTTTTAGGCATTAAAAAAATGGAAGAATGTTGTTTGAGAATATTTCATTGGCCATGGAAGTTGAGTGTGTGTGTGTGTGTGTGTGTGTGTGTGTGAGAGAGAGAGAGAGAGAGAGAGAGAGAGAGTCCCCTCAACTTACAACCACAGCTGGGATTAGAATTTCTGCTGCTAAGCAAGGCTGAGCAAACCCAATTTTAGGACCTTCTTTGCCACAATTGTTAAGCAAATCACTGCAGGTTTTCAGTGAATTATCAGTTGCTGTTAAGCAAATCCAACTTGCCCAATTGACTGCTTGTTGGAAGCCAGCTGGGAAGGTCACAAATGGCAATCACATGAGCCTGAGATATTGCAAACATTGTAAATTCTTTTTTTATTATTTTTTATTTTAACAACAAATCCATCCATTCAAACAGTGTGTCGACTGGGTACATATCTTGTGCAATAATAATTACAATTACAGTTATAATCAATTCAAATTTCTTGCTATGATGTCAATAACTATATTCTTATTTCCAACTACTATATCTAGCAAACATTGTAGATTCATGCCAGTGGCCAAGTGCCCAAATTTTGATCACAGGATTGTGAGGATGCTGCAACAGTCATAAGTGTGAGGACTGTTTATCAGTACTTTATATGGCCACTGAATAAATGGTTGCATATCAAGGACTACCTATGGATGGATGGATGGATGGATGGATGGGCAGACAGACAGACAGACTGTAATAATAAGTAATAATTTGTGCAATTCTAGTAATATAAAACTATGAAATGTTCAATTGCAAAATACAGTGCCCTGGACTTATGACCACAATTGAGCTCAAAATTTCCACTGCTAAGTAAGACAGTTGTTGAGTTTTGCCTCGTTTTATTATCTTTCTTGCCACAGTTGTTAACTGAATCATTGCAATTGTTAAGTTAGTATATTAGTAATTGCATTAAAATTAGATAACTAAATGATGAGGGAGCTTCTCAGAGCTTCATCACTGCTTATTCCAGTCAGTGCAGTATTGACTGGCACAGCATGTGTATGGCAGTTCTTCATATGTTAGCAAATTCTTACAGTAGCAATTGTATGTTGTTCGGTTATCCATATTTTATTAGAATAGCTTAATAATAAGTTATGTGCAGAATGAGCAAATACCATTCATAAATTCATTAGACTTCTCTAAGAACTGAGGATAATTTACTTATTAGTGGATAGCTTGAGAATGGATTTCTAACTGGCCATAATCTAGAAAAAGGCCATATTATTGAATTCAAAAATTGAATATTAGGTATTAGTGAAATACCTAATATTCCTTGACAAAATCATTATATTTATCATGATTAATTCATAGTAGTTAAACCTACCTCAGTATTGGGGGTCATTATGACGAAGAGGAAACAGTAACAGTTAGGGACCTGTGACATTTCCCCATTATTTATTAAGAAGAATAAAACATGAATAAAACATCTTGAAGGCAAATAAACCTGAATGTGGGAATTTCCCAGTTAATGTTATCTCTCCACATGATTCTTATAGTTCCTGAGATCAGAGAGATAAAAACCTGATATCAATTCTTTAAAAGTAAATTTATATTTATTAAATTTATTATATTTTTTCTTTCCACAAATTGTGTTTAATTGTTTCTGAATATATCAGGCTCTGTTTAACCAACCTATACTCCTTACAGAAATTCTGTTAACATAAGTGTGGTTGGTGAGAGAGTGCCAAATGCAAGTGTAAATTGGGTCCAATGAATTCATTATCATCCACAGTCGTTTCAGATTGGATGCATTGGGCTCTTTTTTAGGTATCTTTTTATTTCCCCTGTTAGGTTATTTTAGAAGTTTGCCTTCTCCTCCACAAGTGAAATGCTTTTATAGTTTGCCTCCAAAGATTTGACTTTCTGACTTCCAGATTACATTTTTTAATGTAATTGTGGGCATGTGCAAATATGCATGCACCAGGAAAGCTGCTGGTATGGTACAACCACTTGCTTTTAGTGCATGGTTTAGTTTCCCATGATGTTGGAGGCAAAACTGTGTATTGATGATGTTACCTAGTCTGGTAATGAAACGTTCAGAAACTAAATTGAAACAAGCTTGGAGAGCAAACCACTGCCTAAATTGTGTAGTCCCGAGTTAAAGAGTGTTCTTATAGACAAAAAAGACTGTATATTTTCCTTGCATTGTCACTTCATGAACAATCACAGTTTGTCGTGTATTATTCTGTAATCAGAAAAGCCAAAAGTCACAGCAGAGTAAACTTTACAAATACAGGTAGCCCTTGAGTTATGACCACAATTGAACCCAAAATTTAGGTTGCTAAATGAAACATTTGTTTCAATGAGTTTGCCCCATTTTACAATTTTTCTTTTGTTAAGTGAACCATTGCATTTGTTAAGTTAAAAACATGGTTAAGTGAACCTAGCTTCCTTATTGACTTTACTTGTTAGAAGGTCACAAAAGCTGATCACATGACCCAGGACTCTGCAACCATCATAAACATGAATCACTTGCCAAGCAGCTGAATTTTGATCATGTGACGACAGGGATGCTGCAGCGGTCTTAAGTGTGAAAAAAGGTCATAAGTCACTTTTTTCCAGTGCCATTGTAACTTTGCATGTCACTAAATGAACTGTTGTAAGTCGAGGACTACTTGTACATACAGTTGATTGAAGCTGCACAGTTAAAGGGTGCAGTCATTAAGAGATTTGGTGGTATGTTAGCAATTTAAGGTGGTACCATCTACATTAGAAGAGATATAGTACTCCAAATTGTAAATTACAAGGAATGAAATTTGCAAAAGGGAACTCTTAAGTGTTGGTGGCCAACAGATAATACTTGGGGATTGTAAAACAGATCAGTTCTGCTCTCCCCCATTCAATAGTGGTCCAGAATTTTTCTAATTGTAGTAATTCTATTTTTTCCAGTTTTATTTTCCTTCTGTCCGTGTAGGCTAGAAATATTTAAATAAAACTTTGTAAAAAAAAAGTTACAATATAAAATTATTTCTTTGTAATGAAAATTAATCTTTGGCGTCTCTAAAATCTCCACAGAAGCCACATTTCTCTGTGTGTTTTAGAGCATACAGAAAACCAAGGACACTGATTCTTTTTTCCTTCTTGTACTTCAAGAAGATAGGTGATTTGATTGACACTTGTTCTTAATGTCACTTTACATGGCCCCTGCCATGAGTTTTGTTTTTATGTGGCTGACATTACACTAATTGGGTATTTAAAACTCTATATATCAGTTTTTCCTTTGTGCCCTTTGTTTGCATCATCTCTAGATTTTCTAGAGGTGGAATTAACCTGTTTTGTGGCTTTTGGTTGTCTGTATCTTAGCCAATGTCACTAGTATTTCAAATTTTAGCATGAAAATAATTGCAAGCTTGTCACATGCTAAGTGACACTGTGAATAGGGAAAAAACCCTTCCTCCTTCCCCTCCTTCCTCTAGCCTTTGTATAACATTTGCATACTGTTTTCCCATCAATAATCAGATTCCCCTCCCCCAATAATAATTGTTCCATTGCTGCGTGCATAGTACAAATTTCGGTCCATGCTGAGATCCCTGCAGAATATAAAATTTTAAATAATCTCAGAGGTTCCACATCAA